TTGCTTTAGAGTCCATTCTTTTATTCCTCAAAGCAATTTTAATTCCTTACCTCTTGATTTAATATGTGCAAGTGTAAAGGAATAAAATAACATGATAATTGCTTTAAATTTTTAGTTGTGTTTTATCTTTGTAAATGCTTAGAATGACTAAAATAGTAGAATGTTGTTTCTCTTCTATGAGTAGTGCATTTTCTTATTTTCTGGACTGATATCTATACTTTGTCCTCTGAACATTAATTACTATAGCTTTACTGTAAAAATAATTTAGAGATAACTGTATGGAAGACTATGTATACCTTTGGAGTGTTACTGTAGCCATGTGTATTCTAATTGAGAAAAAAATTAAATATTCTGCAGATATATTTATATGTCTATAAATAACATTGCTAGGTTACTTTGCTTGTTGTGAACATCTGAACACATTTTTGTAATCAGTTTATTGTGAGTACTCTGCATGGACTTAAAGGCAGTAAAGTAATATAGTCTGCCTGTTAATTTCCAAAATTGTGTTTTGCATAAATGTGTGGCCCTTTCTGGAAAGGTAATAAGCATTTAAAAATCAAAGTTGATTAAACATTGTTGAAGTGCTGAATAAATTTCTTTTTCAAAGTTGGGATGTATCCTTCTCTGGAAAATCCATACTTGAATTGTTCCAGACATTACCACTAACAAACAATGTAGCATTTGCATAAAGCTTTAGGTTTCTAGTATTTCACAATCATTGCCTTTTAATCCATATACCGTCTATATGGGGTAGGTAGTTATGTTCAAGCATCCACGTCTCCTGCAGGGGAATTTTGGTGCCAGCAGAAGTATTATGATTGGCACAGACTTTTCTTAATTTCCCAGAGGCCAGACACCTGGAGAGGCTTTTCTACAGGCCCAGGTACATGTCACCTAGGGCTGCCTTCTCTTTTTCTCCTGCTATTTTATTAAGATTCAGTCACCTTTGGTGCCATTGATGTAATGCTGCACTGACTGTGTCAGTCTGCCTTTAAACCCACGATGGAAGTGTATATTTTGGAAGATTTTAGAGAGTCCATTGATCATGTACTTTCTGTGCAGCACCTTTCCACTGTTGACACCTCTGTCACACCAGCAATATGGTACTTTTCATTGTGTTAGCTTTTACTTCTCCAAATAGGTACTTGATTAATAAATGAGCACCCAGAATTTCTGCTTTATGGTTTTTAAAAATATTTGGTGGATGATATATTTAGATATAACTAATGTTTAAGGTGCTGGCAATAAGCATCAATCAGAATATAATGCTAGCAGATATGTATCATAAGTTTTTTTTTGTTTTTTGTTTTGTCTCATATATTTATAGTGCACTAAGCACTATACTATCCTAGATATATTGTCTCATCCTTGTAGCAACATCGTGAAGCAGATATTATCCTTTTTGTTTTATAAAGAAGAAACTAAAGGCTAGTAGGTTGCCCACAGTGATAGAGCTTATAAACCAGAGCTAGAATTTAAAAGCCTAGTTGACTCAAAGTCAGTTCTTCAGCCATTTTATAATATTGCCTGATGTGAAGGATAACAAATAGTTTATTGAAGTGCTGGGTAACAGGTAGCTAAGGAGTGCAAGAGATAGGCTAGACTAAAAAGGCAAAGCAAAACTGTGATGCTCTGCAAAAGAATGGTTCTTATCAATATTATACTAATCGTTTCTCTTTTCTTTATACCTGTCATGACATGAAAAGTATTTGGGTATCATCTTTATTATTTCTTGGAAAAGGGACTAAGTTTCATTCATTTTATAATTATACATAATAAATAATACTTAAAACCTTACATGGAATTAGTGATGTTTTAATGTAGCTGGAGAATTCTCATGAAAGTGGTGTTTCTTCCTCATCTTTTCTCACAGAAAAAAATTTCTACTAAGGAGAATAGCTTGCCCAAATAAAGCTTACATAAAAATAGATTTTTTTTTTTTTAGTAAGAATTTTGAAAAGAAACATATGACAAATCTTATGGGTACAGGTAGTACTATAGCCAGGCTCAAGAGTGTGATTTTTGTCTTCTTGTGTCTTGGTCTATGATAAAACTCATTTGAACTGAAAAATTAAACGCTAAAAAGAAGAACAGAGACGGGCTTTATTTTACATTAGTTTATCATTTGAGTAATAGCTTTATAAAGAACCTGTGAATATTTTGGGGCTGAGGCTGTATTTGCTTAGTGTGTACTCAATATATCTCCTAGTGTAGATAATGAGTTTCCTATTTTAAACATTTAAAATATATTTTCCCATTCACCTTTCTAGTAAAGTTATCCTTAATGCTGGTATCATTACACTCATAATTAGTTGCCCTCTTTTTTGAAAAATTTTAAAGAAACATTAATGCTCTTATATTACAAAATATTCTTCTACTTTTGGAAACTATAGTGGAATTCATATCTAAAGCTACCTAAGCCTGAAGACTTAGTTTTGTGCTGTAGTTCTGTATGTGAAATATTTGCTTCACATTTTCAGGGTATTTTTTTTATATATTTGGTGGATGATATATTTAGATATAACTAATGTTTAAGGTGCTGGCAATAAGCATCAATCAGAATATAATGCTAGCAGATATGTATCATAAGTTTTTTTTTGTTTTTTGTTTTGTCTCATATATTTATAGTGCACTAAGCACTATACTATCCTAGATATATTGTCTCATCCTTGTAGCAACATCGTGAAGCAGATATTATCCTTTTTGTTTTATAAAGAAGAAACTAAAGGCTAGTAGGTTGCCCACAGTGATAGAGCTTATAAACCAGAGCTAGAATTTAAAAGCCTAGTTGACTCAAAGTCAGTTCTTCAGCCATTTTATAATATTGCCTGATGTGAAGGATAACAAATAGTTTATTGAAGTGCTGGGTAACAGGTAGCTAAGGAGTGCAAGAGATAGGCTAGACTAAAAAGGCAAAGCAAAACTGTGATGCTCTGCAAAAGAATGGTTCTTATCAATATTATACTAATCGTTTCTCTTTTCTTTATACCTGTCATGACATGAAAAGTATTTGGGTATCATCTTTATTATTTCTTGGAAAAGGGACTAAGTTTCATTCATTTTATAATTATACATAATAAATAATACTTAAAACCTTACATGGAATTAGTGATGTTTTAATGTAGCTGGAGAATTCTCATGAAAGTGGTGTTTCTTCCTCATCTTTTCTCACAGAAAAAAATTTCTACTAAGGAGAATAGCTTGCCCAAATAAAGCTTACATAAAAATAGATTTTTTTTTTTTTAGTAAGAATTTTGAAAAGAAACATATGACAAATCTTATGGGTACAGGTAGTACTATAGCCAGGCTCAAGAGTGTGATTTTTGTCTTCTTGTGTCTTGGTCTATGATAAAACTCATTTGAACTGAAAAATTAAACGCTAAAAAGAAGAACAGAGACGGGCTTTATTTTACATTAGTTTATCATTTGAGTAATAGCTTTATAAAGAACCTGTGAATATTTTGGGGCTGAGGCTGTATTTGCTTAGTGTGTACTCAATATATCTCCTAGTGTAGATAATGAGTTTCCTATTTTAAACATTTAAAATATATTTTCCCATTCACCTTTCTAGTAAAGTTATCCTTAATGCTGGTATCATTACACTCATAATTAGTTGCCCTCTTTTTTGAAAAATTTTAAAGAAACATTAATGCTCTTATATTACAAAATATTCTTCTACTTTTGGAAACTATAGTGGAATTCATATCTAAAGCTACCTAAGCCTGAAGACTTAGTTTTGTGCTGTAGTTCTGTATGTGAAATATTTGCTTCACATTTTCAGGGTATTTTTTTTATTAAACTGAGTTTATTGGTACATTTTAGGTATACAGTACAGTTACATTCATTATTGGGATCTTGTACCTTTCCATGACAAGTCTTGGTTCTCATCTTTTTCAGTCTTTTTTCATTAAGTTAATTGGTACTTTTTAGGTATACAGTACAGTTATATTCATCATTGGGATCTTGTACCTTTACGTGATGTATCTTGGTTCTTATTTTTTCCTCATTCCCTGCCTTCCCTTCATCCCTCCACCCTTTCCTATTTACAAAGACTTTGTTTCCATTTTTTCCTTTTCTCATATTTTTTCTTTTCCCTTCTTTCCTTTCCCCTACTCTTACCACCACTTTCCCTACTCCTTTACACCTTTTCTTCCTATTTCACATTTTCAATTTTTATACATATATTTATTCAAGATTTTAAATTCTTCTTGAGCTAATTCTAACATTATGTGTTTTTCAGGGAATTTAAACTTTTTTCCAAAAATATTTCATTGTTATTGTTCTTTTAAAAGAATTAGTATGGGCTTTACTTGAAAAAGAAACACAGACATATGATAAAACATTCAAATGAGTTGGTAATAGTTAAGTCCTAAATATATTGTTTATCATAAGAACTATATATTTCAAATATATTTTTACTATAAATCATTTGTAAATGTACTATAAAATGATTGCTGTGCATAAATGGATAATTACGATTGTACTTGTAAGAAAAATATGTGTCTTATTAACCGTGCCTATCAAAGAAAATAGTAATAGGAATACAATATAATTCTAATGTAAAATGGTTATAATTTAAGTATGTTGATCTCTAGAGTTGATGAGGTATACAGGAGAAATATTTGTTAAGCATAAGCTTTAGGAGTTAGATGCAGAGGCTCCTGTAGATTTAATATTTTCTTTGAAGTTTCTCTGTACTTACAAGTGTCTTTCTTACAACTGATAACAGTTGTGTGGTGATACTATATATTAATTAAAGAATCATGCATTCTTCATGTAATGGGGCTAGGTTTATATTTTGTTGTAATATACAATGATGTTTTCAAAATTGTGTAAAATATTGAGATATTCAGCTAGTTTGGAAATTGAGTTTCTAATATAAGTATGAGCTATGCAAAGTAAAACTTAATTTTCCTAAAGAGAATATGTGAACATCTTAAGTATTTTAATTCAAAATTTAAGGTGCTAATTCTTGTGTTTTTATTTTCTAATTTTAGGTTTTAGTATAAAGGCAGTGCCATTCCAGAATGCCATCTTGAATGTAAAAGAACTTGGAGGTATAACCTTTAAAATTCTTTCTGTCTGACCTTTACTTTACTTATCTGGTATTTGTGTATTATACATAATTAAAACATTGTGATAATTTATTCTAGGTGATGCATTTTTTTACCTTTTCTCTTGATGATGTATTTCCTAGAAATATTTCCTTCTCAGCATGTGTTTTAAAAGTTGTTGAAGAGTTCTAACTAATATAAACTGTTTTCTTTTGTATGGGTCAAAGTCCTACACTAATGGTAATTGATGTGTGTTTAATCATTGACAGTGCCGGTTCATTATTGTTGAATGAAGTATATGAAGAGATTTTAATGTAATTATTGAAAAATAAAGTACACAGGGAAAAAATTGTGTTTATATTGTAAGTTTTATTGTTTTCAATCTTTTTGAATATATTTGTTAAAATAATAAATCTTTGCAAGTGGGTTCTTTGCTGACCAACCACATTTATTGGATAGGCTGTACCTCAAAGTATACATCACTCAGTCTTTCACAATACTCTCTGTTTGCCACTTTTTTGGTTAGGTTTTATGTCAGTCAGGGTCTTAACCCATATAAATAGATTAACAAAGAATTCAGTCAATTCAGTGAACCTACTAAATTCTCTAATGACACAGTAAAATGGTAAGTACTCTGGAGTTCAGTATAATATTGATGAGTTTAATGATGTAGAAGTAAGTTCTCTTTCATCTCTTTAATCACTTTGTGATATTGACCTTACCCTGTCTTGTTTTGTTTTTCCTTCTCCTTCAAGGTCATTCTAACAATGACTTATTTTTATCTCGAAATTCAAACACGAACTTTGTGTCATTTTAATATTGTTTGGTACCTCAGCATTTTCTTCAGTAGAATAGTGGCTGATCTTTTTAGGTTTCTTTTCTTCTTCTTTCTTTTTTCTTTTTTTTTTTTTTTTTTTTTTTTTTTTTTTTTGTACCGGGGATTGAACTTGGGTCCTTGTACTTGGGAGGCAGGTGCAGAACCGCTGAGCTAAATCCCTGGCTTGTTTAGGGTTCTTTTTTAAAGCTCTGTGTTTAGGACAGATTTATATTGGTTGGTCAGTTTTATAGCTATCTTTGGCTTTGATAGAAATTAGTAGTTAAATGTAGCCATGATAAATCTGATTTTTCCTTTATAGGATACTTGGTTTTTATTATTCTGACACCAAAACTCATGCAGCACAAACATTCTTATAATAACTTTACATACAAATTTTTTAAATGCTATTATATTAAATATATAATACTGCTTGGTTTTTTGGTGGCTACTTTCTCCTCAATAGCAATAATATTATTTCTGGATATTTTGAAGTCAGAAAAATATATTGTAAAAATCCATAGAATCCAGAGTATACCGCTTGAGAATGCCATTTATTTTAAATATAGTTGGTACTTACGAAGTATTATTAGGGTAGACATTAAACTTTTGATTTCCAGCAAGTAAAAGAAACTGTTGATTAATGATAATTATTTATTATATGTGATGTTTATTTGGATGACGTAAATAGTGAATGTATCTGCACAATTCAAAAAGTGAACACTTAAAGGAATATGTTAAAATCTTGGCTCTGTGCCAATGAAATTCAGTAAAATGAAAGATTGGAGGACTAAGCATACGTAAGATGGGCATAAATCGTTTTCAAAGTAAGGTTGTATTTTGTGGAAAGAACTCTGCCCTGACAGTTGGTAAAATGGAAATTACATTACAGTGCATGTAGTAGGAGGTTGTTGGTAATGTTTTAGTTTGTACCTGTTTCGTGATAAGGCTGAGAGACACAGGACCGATCCTCAGAGATTGGGGTAGTTATGTTAGTTCCAGGCTAATTATATATTGTTTTGTGTATGCATTAGTATTAAAGAGCACATTTTTAGCCTACGTATATATTCTTTTATCCTCCTGAACTTTAACAGTTTTGTTTTCAGTTGAGAGACTACCTCAAAGGAAGGTGATTTTCACATATGTCTAATAGTGTTTCCTTAAACGTGTCCTCAGAGGCAGGCAATAAAAGGAGTTGATTCATGAATGACTCCTTCACTAATTCAATTATTCAATAATCTTTTTCTGCACTTAATATTAAGTTATGTTTTACCCAACAACACATGAAAATTTAGGCTAACATACAAATGGAAAGTGTAGCATTTCTAGGATTTAAAACATGTGCTAAGATATTGGGTATTAGGAAGCATTATGACCTATTAAAATCGCACTATCTTTGAGCTTCATGACAGAGTTCTAAGTTCAGGAAGAAAGAGTTGAGTGATTTAGATTATTGTATGAAGTTGCACAGGTATATGTACCAGAGCAGAGTTCCTGAAAAGATAGATGAAGTCTTAGACATGCTTTGATAGTTGTCTTCATTCTGAGGTTAGCTCAGCAGAATGGCATGGCTCTGTCTCTCTGTTAACCTACTAATGCCCTACCTCCACCCTTGCAGATAATTCCAAGGCTTTCCATTAGCCCTTTCTCAGCCTTAAGTTAATTTCTCAGGCTTTTAACTAGACCTGGTGGTACATGCTTATAATTCCAGCACTTTAAGGCAGGCAGATTGGAAGTTCAAGTACAGCCTAGGCAATTTAGAGAGTTAGTGAGACCCTGTCTCAAAATAAAAAAATTTTAAAAGGAGAGGGATGTAACTTAGTGCATAGGCCATGGGTTTAATCACCAATATTGAAAAAAAAATTCTTTTCATGCTTTCAAAATAGGAAAAGGCATGAACTTCTTGTATTCCTTATCTAGTAAGAAGAAATTGTAAGGGATGAAACAGTAATGAGTTAAATTCAATGAAAGTCACTTTTGAGGAATCTTAATAAAATATGCATATATA